ATCAGCCCATCAGAGACTGAGGCACTTCTGCCCTTAGAGAACACTGTCTGAGAATATTTAGTGACATAATACGGTTTTAAGTTCTGTTAGACCCACAGTAATCTTTCCCAGCATCCTTCCAACACTCCTCCACAGATATATGGTACATGCTGTGCCAATGAGACTCAACCCAAATGGGGCAGTCCTCTGCCCATCAGATCGCTATCCCTAAGTCCCCTGGATGTGCCATAGGGTCCCAGTGGGAAATAGTGAGAAATAAAGTTGAATATAACCAGATTTAAAAACTTGATGCAACAGATAATAAGGAGCTCTTGTAGGCTCCTCAATAAGGAAATACTTGGTACAGGGATACATCAAAAAGATTGATCTTCGTGAAACTTAATTCATTGCAAACATGAATTAAGCTTTTCTAAGAAATAAGTCCAAATAATGAACTAAATAACAAGGAAGTGTTAATAAAGACGGAATCGAAGGTTTTTTTAAAAATTCCATTCTGGGCTAATTAAGGGATAAATCAGTTCAAATGAAAGATGTCACTGTTATTAAAACTTCATTCATTGATTGAATTATGTTTCATGTGAACAGAGTATATTTTAAGATTATTTGATTATTATATAAGTCAATGTCATTTCCAGTTTTTGGAAAATGGACATTAATGCCCTGTCACTGAAAATGTAACTGAGTTTATCAAATTAATTTCTCAAAGGCCACCTGATAGCCACCAGATGGCAACCTGCACTGATGTCAGATTTGAAATTTAAGTTATAGATAGCCCTGTGACTATGCATTACTGCTCGCTCATCCCACTGGGTTCCTTTAATATCGTAAAACACAAAGGCTTTCTACTACTTTCTTAAATTCCATTTGAACACAAAGAAATGTGTTCTAACCACAATGCTTGCAATAATTAAAGTCTTTTTTTTTTTTCTTACTAGGAGTCTACCTAGAAATAGTGCAATATGGAATGATCGTTAATAGACCTGTTATGGTACTTGAATAAATGCCTATCAAGAGTGCAGGCAGCCATTAGTAAATTTCCTAAAGAAAATCCATTTTCATTTCAAATTCTGACATTTTATTTAGAAAAATTACACCCTTTCTTTTAATTATTTCAGTAAACATAATGAGGGTATTGCTAACGACCCCTCTGAGTACTTTATTTTCTCCATTTTTTAGTAATATGAGTCTACTTGTAATTAAAGGCACACTGCATTAATGATGCTGGGGTCTCCAAGGGAAACATTTAATATCCACCTCATAATATTATGCCAAAATTACATGCACAGAAGACTTTTTAATAATCTTTGTTTCCTAATTTAGTTTTGATTGGCTCTGAAATCCGCAGCAGCTCTCGGGGGTTCACATTTCCATAGCCATCAGCACTTCCGCACCAGCCATTGTACAAACGCACGTGACTTCTCCCGTCTGCAGGCTCCCTTTCAAAGCTTCTGTTTAACTTATCCAGAAAATTAGCTGCAGGCTGGAGATAATTGCAGATAATTTTGCCATTTTTAAGCCACTGGAGTGTTGCGTGGAGATATGACAGCGAAGTTTGTCTAAACACAAAGAACAAGTCAGAGCTCTGTGTTTTCACTTCAGCTTTACATGCAGGTTCAGATCATCCTATTTGCTCTTTATGCAAATTGAAACAAATTGCAGTCACTAGATGATCTGTGTTTTCTGACAAAGCTGGGCTATGGAAAGGTTTTTTTGTGGCTGGGAGAAGGACATGATCTATAGGAACATACTAACCCAGCCTACCAACAACAACAAAAAAACAAAAAAGGCTAACCCTCTTCTACCTCTCAGATCCTTAAAAGGAATATATTAAATTAAAAAGAAAACGTATGGTCTGACACCAATTCATATGTGTGTGTGTATTTATTTCCCCTATTCTATTTGCATAAATAGAAATGTCAGAGTGCTCCCATAAAATTAACATAATGCTGGTAGTATTAATAGACAACCATTTAAAATCACTAGACACTGAAGAATTATTAAATAGGTCATCCAGGTTAGGAAGCAGAGATCTATTTTCAAATGGAATCATGTGGCCCTTTTCGCCTAAAGTTTTACAATAAACTATACGCTCCCTCCCTGAATGGTCACTGCCATATGAGGATGGGGCATTAGAGAAAGGCAGCAACAGTGGCTCTTAACGCATTGCCAATGAACTTCAACTTTATACAAAACAAATCAGCTATGGGAACTTCAGGGTCTTTCTCTCACCAAATGGCCCCTTGGTGCTCAGAATTGTTATACTCATAGCTAATAAGGGTGTCACTAACAGAGCGGGTGATTTCTGAAACCATTTTGCAAGCAAACATTTACATATAAGGGCTAAGTAGTGACTGTGCTTCTGTGGCAGCTCCCCTGATGTAATGGGCGCTAACGACTCTGAGGGAGCAGGTATGGATGCATGTGTCAAGGAGGAAAGAACAGGAAAGTCATAACACAAGTGACTTTATGGAATCCCATTAGACCTTGGGCTAAGGAGCACCTACACGGGTCTGATACGACAGCTTCCCAAGACAGCTTTACAGCCTTGTGTCAGGAACCCTTACGCTAAAGAGTTTTATGGAAAATCCAAAACTACAGAGAAGTGTTGCTGTATTAGGCCATTGTTGTTGACTTGGCATATAAGATGCTTAGAAATAGTCCCAAAGTCTGCGTTTAAAGGATAGGTTATTAAATCTGCTATGCCAGTCATATGCATATTAAGGAGTTCAAATAAAGCATTGATAGGTAGCATCCTACAAATCTTATGCTCTCCCTTGGAAAACAATTCTGCCCATTGACAAACTTAAATGCACTAAGTATCTGCATCTGACTAAGATGTGGCCTTTTAAAAGACTACCTTGTGCACTTGGGGGTAAACGTATTAAGTATTCACATTACTGCTCTTGAGAAAGCTGGGGGATATCATTTTAATTCTTTTTTCTCTTTTGGTTTCTAACATCACACAGCTAGTGAACTGGGAAGGAACGGACTTGTTTAAAGACTAAACCATGTCCCCATGAAAGGCAGCCATGCAAAGTTCTGTAATGTGCCCTTTTCCACTCATGGTAGGAAACAGAGGCACACTGAAGACCCCAAGTAAACCCTTCCATGTGAGGACAGGAGCAGGGCTCAGCCAGCGTTCTCTTGCCAGGGGTGGAGATCAGGAAAGCTGTGCTTTTAAAGCACAGGCTGAACACACCATACAGGGCTGATGTAAGTGGAAAGGGCACCCTAAGAAGCAGATCTGCTATATTACTTAGATTTGTAAATTATTAAACAATTCCAGAATAGGCATATCACTACAAGTGTCATGTAAGGAATAAACAGAGCTACAGTGACCTTTGTAACATGAAAAGCTGGCCCAGAACTCATTCTCTTGCTGTGAGGAGTGGAAGACTACATGACCTATTACCTACCCAGCAATTGCACCACAGATTTGCAGTGAGACCCTAAATTTGACTTTTTATGAAAGATTATCAAACACCTTTCTATAAAGCCAACAAAGGTCCCTGCTCTTTTACAGATTTATTGTAGTTTTGCTAATGGGTTGGAATAAACTACTCTTTTGGAAGTTTCTGGTTTCTAAAACGTAGCTTTTTTGCCCTTTTTTTCAAACCGCATACCTGTTTCCCAGAAAGACGGGTCCTCTCTTTGAAATATTTAGTCTTTCAGGCCACTTTAGTCATAGTGACACCTAATAGCCAAGCTCTTTTTCTCACTCTCCACAAAATCGGGTTTAGACTATAATTCAAACCAGTCCCCAAAGGCAGTTCTGAAAAATGGCAAGCCGTTAGCTTTTAGGTAAAAACACTCTTTATTGCTCAAAATTGTTTCCTGTTACAAAACCTTTTCTACAGTGCTAGGTATAAGATGATCTTATGCTAATTTAACTCACTGGGGACTGTGAACAGATGCTACTTTGATTAATAGTTTCACTATCCTGAAAATGCCAGGCCAGGTTCAAGATAATAAAGTCAGGTAAGAATACTATTAAAATCTGCCATATGATTATATCTGTTCTGTGGAGAGAAGTGGGATCACAATTCCAGTGTCAAATAAAGACCACCTATAATAAAGAAAAACACTGACATAAACCAAATGAATATACTGTCTGAATTCTTTAGCACTTTGACTTACATCATGTTAATCATCAAACTCCTTACCTTATAGGTAAACTTTCAACCACATCCTAAGTGAAAATTCAATGCATCGCTCCAATGTTACCTTTTCACCTAGGATTTAACTCTCTGCCCAGGAAAAGACTTATGTATACCACAAAAACAATGAATTCTGTAATTCTGCTTATCAAAGGATGGTATCTGAATTTGTATGCCCAGGTCATTACTTTTCAGCAAATGCATTTTCAACATTCCAACAATCATATTTAAAATACCCATAGAAAACTGTGACCCTTGAAAATAAGGGGCTGCACGAGTTGACAAATGAGACTTTTCCAGAGGCATTAGCTCCTCTCTCCTTGCTTCTCTTCTCACTTATCTCCTAAATGAAGACTTCCACACCCAAGCAGTGTCCAGATGAGGATAACCATGAGCTCTAATCTAGCCTTGAACTACAAAATTCGGGGCTGGCCTCATACAGGTATCTGAAGAAAACTTTGTGTTTTTAAACTCGGTTTACCAATGGAGTTTATCCTTTACCATGATGCATATGACCTAATCATATTCCCAGACTCCAATCTGAAATTTAACCTTCAGTTGAACTTTTTCTTTTATAATTTATATACAGTACACCAGTCTCAGTGGAAGCTTTGGTTTGCAGGAAGACAGAAGGTACATTCCAGTGCATCACTCACACTGCAATGTGTAATTCCGGGTCCTGCAAGCCAGCCTCCAGTGAGAAGGAAGGATCTGTTAGCACAGATCTGCCCCCCGCAGATTCAGCTCATTGCATGAGTCAAGTCTTTACCCTCGCCACACTTGCACACATATACGACACGCTCCCACTTCATAGGAAATAGTTATACAAAAGGGTTGCCTCACCATTGCACAGAACGTCTCAGGAGGGTCTCCACAGGTAATGTCCGGAGGATCTAGTTTTACTTTCAGATATTTGGTCATGTCCGTGGATTCCGGCTGACACGCCATGTAATCCCAAACTTTCCCTTCTTCTGTGTAAATCTGAGTCTTACACACGTCATAATGTCCCCATACCAAAGGGTAGGGCTGCATCACCGAGGACACTGTAACCCAAAGGGCATGAATTGACAGGAATCTTGACAAATACATCTCTAAATTCTTGGCAATCTTCGCAGTAATAAAGCAGGGTTTGATTATCTGTGAGCTAGGTCTATTTTACATATACATATATGTCTATATGTAGGTAGATCTGTATATTTAAAAAAAAAAAAAAAAGGAGGATGAAACCTCAGTGTAGATTCCAAATCTAAAAGCGAAGGGTTGATATTGTGTGCGTTCAGGTATATTGAGGACTTTGGTGGAAGCCTAACATACTTGGACGTTAGGCATTGACAATAACTTGCCGCTTTTTTGTTGTCCTAGAACATATCTATGAGACTCGCGTCTGGTTTGGTGCTTGTAAAAGATGTCCAGTGGCAGAGAATGATTTAGCAAAGTGATGGCTCTCCTGCCGTACATCCGATAACTCTGGGTGATCCTCGGTGCCCACGGCTCATGAGGGATGCTCAGACGCACCAGGATATCAGTATCTGAAGCAAAAGGATGAGTGTCTATAGCCAGGTGTCTGCTTCTCATTAATCATTCTTTCCTTCTGGCACCAACACCCTTTAAGAAACAATAAGAGTAAGAGTTATTGCCCCAGAATCAATGCATTACAAACTGTATGATATGTTGACATTTGGGAGGTTTGATGCAATATAAAGCAAATTGGTGTAATATGGATAACCTTTACTCCGCTGCTTTGCTAGAATGAGCAAACCATAGAAATTACTCACATTGGGGAGAATCTTGATATGAAGGATTTAACTCTTCCATAACAAAGACAGATGTGCAGGTCCCAGGTGAGTTACATGTCCTCACTTCAAAAATTATATTTCCACCTTGACAAAACTGAGAGCAAGCAGCTAGATTTAAACATTTCTCATGAATTGCAGTGCTAGAAAATCTACCAGGAGAACAATGGGCGAAATGAATGCTTTTATAACATGACAAAAAAGTGACAACTACTTGTATGCCTTTTGTCTATTGGCAAAGAGACCCTAAAAAATCTCTAAATTCCTTGTACATTTCTTAGCTTTTGTTAGCTGGAGTGAAAACCAGCATTGTTGGCACAAGGCTGTCCCCTTGGATTTGCTCATTATATTGGAAGAATTTAGCCTCTTTTGTTTAGTTGCAGTTAGTGATAAAGATAACTTGGCTCTCTAGAAAAAAAAAAATACTCAAAAATAAAACCAAAGGAGCAAATTTTCTTTTCACAAGAATCTTCTATTTTCTTACATCTTTTTATAGCCATTACATCTGCATTTGCACTTACTTTCTGTAACAGAAGAAGAGAATTTGTCCCAAAGGCGAGTATTATACGCTGCTTTAAAACTAAAAGCTCTGTAGTAAAACGCACAATTTAAAATGCATGTATAAAAATAGCTGAGGGTGAGTTAACAGGCCATGAAGCAGAATAATATGGCACTAATTCTAAGAGAAAATAAAAATTACTGTTTAACAGTACTTTAGGTTAGCTGATAATGCACCCTCCACAAGTATGGGTTCTAGTCATTGGAGAGGTGAACTGGCAACTTTGCTCTTTAGAAATCACTGTCCAAGTCAAACCAAACAACAATATTTGGAAACCAGGTGTAAAAAAGAGGTATTTGTGTAATTAGTTCGTTCATATTGTCAGAGTCCCAGTAACTGTTTTTTAAACAACTGGAAAAGGACAAAAAAAGCCTGCAGTTTAGAAAATATCATTACGGACCCATTAATTCACATCAGGCACTTTAAATAGGGAAGTTTGCTATCTTCAAACAATCTTATAAAAGGAAGTCAATATATTTAAATAATGCACCATCTTGAAATGAACGCAGCCACAGAGACTATGAAATGCCACTGGATGGTTGAATAGTGTTTCCATAGCAAAGTAATTTATAATAATTGCTTTATGGATACAAGTGCAATTTTCATTATATTCAATTCATAAAATGTTATCATACAGCTGTAATTTGTGGTATTTTCTATTAGGAAAAGTGTTGAATATTTGAGTTCCTATGAAGCAATAATTAGCAGTTTGTCTAAACATGTATAAACTGCAGATTTGAATCTGCCTCCTCCTTATAACACATAGGTGTGTTGGGCACATTTTGATATCTTAAACTAAAGGGAAAGAAATCACAGTGAAGCATGTGCTTTGGCTACTGCAACCTTCTGCTTTTTCAGACTCAGTGGTAATCTTAAGTTGATATTTTCAGAAACGTCCAACAATTTGACAATTAATAATCTGTAAAGGTGTTAAAATAATACAAATGCACATTTTCTAGATGCATTTTCCAACTGTGTTTACTACTTCATTATAACAAGAACAAACACTTTCATGGGCTGTTGGGGAGCTGGGCCTGGGCATTACAACAGAAGAAGTGTAAAATCTACTAGACTAGAAATTATTAACTTCAATTCTTAGGTTCCAATACATAGCAACTTCTTTATCAAGAACAATATAATCTTGAAAGACCGGGAATGGACTGCTCTGAGTTTGAATTGAATGAAAATTATGAATTAGTTTTTAATACTGTTTTTAAAATGTGACCTTAAGTATACATTGGAATGCTCTGAGATTAACCTTCACTTTTTTTTTTAACCAGTAAATGTTACCCCCTAATTTATTTATTCTTTGTAACTCTGTCTTTATCCACATTTTGCCTTTTTGCAACCACTGAGTAAAGGATGACCACATAGATGTACGTGGAAAATTTGGGCACTAAGGAAATGTATGCGAACCTGTTATTATTTCTTGACACACAACAATCCCAATATAACGAATTCTCATTAAAGAATAGCAGAATTATAATGATGGTCATTACATAGAATTATGGACTATACCATTGATCGAATTTAGAGAACTGACAAGGAAAAATGCAGAGGAGTGCAAGATATTTGAATATTAGGCAGTTGCAGGACTGTGCGGCAGACATTCTTGACAAGAAGCAGCCAATTATAGCTTAAATTTCTGGCACATAACCAGTTGTGATTAATAGTTTTCCATTACATTACAGACATATTATTAATGTATTAAAAATGTCAAGCTTTGGCAAGCACTAATATGGCATGGCTCAGTTAGTCTGCAGAATTTACATTTAATGAGCTCCCATTGACACAGAAAAAGATATTGACCACGGCATATTACAGATCAGGAGCAGAGGGTCACTAAACTGTTCTTTAACATAATTGCTTAATTTCATTCTAATTTTTGTATTTGTAGCATGTAATCTAGAATGTATTCTTCATGTCAGGTCTCCTTACTTTTTTTTAGTGCCACTTACACTTCAAAGAAAATCTTCTTAATTTAAAATTAAGAAGAAATTAAAACTATGAATTTCCAGGACACAGAGTGGAAAAGAGGCCTCTGTCAAAATGGGGAATTTGCTACTCAGTATAATTATGGAGTTTTCAAAGACAATAAAATGATATGAAAATAGAATACTATTTACCCCCAACCTCTATTGCCTAATGGTATCAGTTCCCATCGGGCTATGCGTTTCAACCAGGTTAAAATCATCAACAGCTTCTTAAAACTAGGTAATCACAGCAAATAGTTAGGCAAACGGATAATGAGAAGGACAGTCAATGACATATTTGGGGATTTATATGGGTATACCATACCAAACCCTTCTGGCCCATAACTGACCTAATTGTCAAGTAATGGGGGCTTTGAAACTGCCTCAGGTATCCACATCACCTAAATGTGAGCAGCTTCAGAAGAGCTCCGTGCAGCCCCAGGTACCAGTTCTTTGCTTTGCAAACCTTGGGAACGAACTATTTTCAAATAATGCCGTCATCTCTACCTGTGCACTAAAGCACTGAGAAGTCCTCTTTAATAAAAATACCCATTAATATGCTATGAGAACTCCATAGATTCTCACTGATATATAAATTTGCAGAGCCAATATGAAAATATAAAATTATGTCATATCCTCAAGTTGACAGATGTTATTCATCTGGACTAAAAGGGGCTATAACATGGCTTTGCATCCACAGGACATCTTTTTCCAGGATTCTGAAGCTAATTCCCCTCCACCTGGAAATAACTTTGGAGAAGGAATTTCACAGGCCTTTTCTCATCAGAAAAGAAGCCTTCCAAAATAGTACATGGGAGTTGTAGTGGTCAATGGTATAGACAATTACATTCTTAAAAAAAAAAAAAAAATGCCAATATCATCAACTGAGAGGAAAATATTGACAGTAAATCTGTTAACTCTAGCTCATTCATTTTATTATATAATCTCACTAGGAGGTGGGGGTGGTAGTAGTAGACTATTTATTCCATAAATACAAGGACACCTGAAATAGACAACTATTGACTCATTCCTCATAGACATTAAGAATTTTATAAATAGGCATGTTTCTGAATGGAGAGGAACAAAAAGAACACTAACTATAATCACTTTTCATTGAGTGAAAAGTATAAAGAGATTAAGATATCCCCAAATGCTATCACCTACCAAAATTAGCAGATTCCAACACTGTTGTAGTGAGATTGACTAGACGAGATATTTAAGATACACTGAATGCTTTTTGCATTTATTTATTGTTGTGAAGAGAGCATTTTCTAGTCATCTTAAATGGGAAACATTTGCTTCTACCCTTTTGTTAACTGTCTCTCAAAATATAAGGAATTTAACAAGTACTGAAACATCATTGACATATTGTACTCATCCTTGATTGGGTATTATGAGCAACTGCCTATCATGAGATTCTTAATAAAACCAAATAGCACACCTTAGTATTTGAAAGATCTCGGTTTTCACTGAGAAAAGAATGATTAGAGAAATCAGATAGCATATACTTGGCAGGATGTTAGGGGATGGGATAATACATAAAATTATTTCAGAATCAGTTAAGCCTGGAAGAAATCTGGTATTTCATTACCATAGAACAACAAATCTTTCCTTCTTATGTAGGCAAGTTCAGACATCCAAGGTTTCAAACACACATTTAAGAAAATCTACACCCACCTGAAGTTTTGAAACAAAACTCTGGATTCTGAAGATAACATTCTATTTTAAAGTACACTATATCTCTTACTGACCTATAATATCTACACACACACACACACACACACACACACACACACACACACTTGTTTTGTTAGCATAATAACTGACTTTCTGATTTGCATGAAATCTTATTTCTTTCCAAGCGACTTTATGCTCTTGTAACTCTAAAACTATCCAAATCTTTACAATACTTAGAAAACATCAAATAAAAGCATAATTGTTTAAAATTTTTTGACATATTACCTGATTTTTTTGGAATAGTAATAGAAGCAGACAAGTAGTTGCGCCAATTGCAAATATACAAAAGGAAACTGCAAAATACATTAGCGTCATCCTAAAAAAGCTAACCTGAATCACTTTAACACACATGCCCTGTGAAAGCTGACAAAACAAAAATCTCAACAGAAAAGCAAAAAAAAAAAAAGCTTTGTGTGCAAATAAAATAAACTGTTGTCTTACAAAAATTTAAGACAATCGCTCTTAAAATTCACAATAGGAAATATAACCACATTAATAGCCACAGATGGAATTCTGAATGCCCTCATGTTGATCTTTAGTGCTGAAATAGATGTCATTTCATGGCATCCGGAAGAGAAAAGGAAATATATCCCCTACATACATAAGCTGGAACAACAGTAAATGCAAAACACTTGATGCATTTTTTTTCTTTTGTGTCCTAATCCACATGCAAATACCTAAATTTTATCTTAATGAAAAACTGAAAGCTGCTTATCTTCCAAAAGAATCTTGAACAGTTATTGAGCTGCCTTTTCTTTGCCGAAGAGAAAGGGGGGTGGGTGGGTAAGACATTCAAAGTGACAAAATATACTTAATGAAATCTGAGGTTCCTAATTCCCCACAGGTTAGAGATGCTCTCAAGGGCTAGACAAATTACAAAAACCTTGCTCCTTCTCTGAAAAAGTGAATTTCTGGGAAACTTTTTCTAAGGAGATTAACCATTAAGTAAATTCGAATAAATGATTTTGTTGGAGATCTTTATGGTGAATTTCCCCTCATTTCTGTAAGACAACTTTTAGTATTTTCAATCATAAAACAGGGCCTTATTTCTAGAGCAAATCTACTGCCAGATACACCATATGTTTAGTGGAATTCTGAATCTTACTCAGAATTTTCCATTCCAAAGATTGACAAACTGTTATGATAACGAGTGGCTCCATTACCATTCCGAGTAGAGAGAAGAATGGACGAGGAGTGGGGTAACAAAAGCCTCTACTCTCTGGAAATCTATACCTGATGCGATGATGGGAACGCAACCTCCGACTTTTCCAAATAAAGTTGCTTTAAAATCCCCGCTAGGAATTTTCCGGCAAGCCCTGCAAGATGACAACCTCCTAAATGGATGGGGTGGGGGGTGGAGGTCCCCGGGTGAGGTTACTACAATAAACAGCAGAGGGCGCAGTTTCTTTTTTTATCTAACTTTTCCCGGGTATGAATCACTTAATTGGTTATTTTGGGCCCAATAATATTCGGGATTATTTGTATTATATATAGATATCCACAGACCCATAGAGGATAGGAATTCAATGTCTCTAGCCAAATCCATCAACCGATTAAAGTAATGCCAGTAAAGAATCTGAGAAAATATTCCAAAGCGTTCCTACGCCAAGTCAGGTCCTCTTTCAATTCTCCCTTCTCCCCAGCTGCACATCATGGGATAGTAATGCTTTAATCTCGCACCAATAACGGAGATTAAAAGAAGGGGACTTCAAAAGCTCTCAGTGTGGCCACCAGCTCCGCAGGGCCAGCAAGAGGGCAAGTTTTTCCCCAAAGCAGAGACAACTGGCAAAAAGGGAAAAAAGAACCCTCCAGTGCGTTGTGTGTGGCCAGGTGTGTGTGTGAGAGGGGGAGCGCGCCGGATGCCTGTGAGTCCGTCCACCGAGGCACCCACCCAGCGCCCAGGCTCCGGATGCAACACAGACACACATAGACACACAGACCCACACACACACACCCCTAACCCGCTCGGGGCGCACACCCAGGAAGACTGGTGTGTGGGTGTCAGAGTGTGCGGGTTGTGTGCGCGCCGCGGCTCCGCGCGCTGCCTCCTCAAGGCGCTTTACAAAGTTCCTCGCCCACCCGGAGCCTCCCTCCCGCCTGTGGATCGCAGAGGGGGGAGGGGGACGGAGGGAGGGACGGAGGGAGGGAGCCGGGGGGAGAGGGGCAAAGACTAGAAGCGCGGGTCGCCGGAGGAGGGGGACGCCGGCTGCACTTACCGTGTGGCCCGTTTGCCCTTGCGCCGGCCGGGAGCCGACCGACGGCGCGGGGCGGCGGCCCTGCCCAGCCGGGTGCGCCTCGGGCGGCGGCCGCGGCAGCCGAGCCCGCGAGCAGCGCACCGGCGGGCGGCGGCAGCTCCCGCCGAGCGTCCTCCGGGGCGCGGGAGGAGCGGGAGGGGTGGGGTGTGGACCCGAGCCGCCGCCGCGGCCGCTGCAGCCCCGGGGTCCCGCTCGCGCTCGGCCCGCGGGGGGAGAGGACTCCGCGCACCCGGAGCCCCGCGCCGGCCCGCCACTCCCCGCCGCTTAATTACCTTCGTCGCGGGCCCCTGAGGGGGAGCCTCCTGCGCGTCGCCCCCTCTCGGAGCCCTCGCCGAGAGGGGGAATTCCTTCCCGTTGACGTCCTCTTCCGAAATGCAAAAGATCAGTGACTTTGACAGGTAGATGAGGGGGAGGGAACAGGGGTGGGCGGAGAGGAAGAGAGGATGAGAAAGGTGCCTCTCCCTCCAAAAATATAGTGATATTAATAATGAAATCGCAGCCTTCGGGAGGTCTTGCCAGCCCAGTACCCCGCTTGCCGGCTCTTCTCCGCGCCTCCTCGCGCCACTGCCTCTGCCACTTCTCGCCTTAAACTTTTACTGGGGATTTTTTTCCCCCCTATTTCTATCTCTCTCTCTCTCTCTCTTTAAATTTTTTTTTTTTTTTTTTTTAAGCTGCAGGACGGATTTCCTGATTCCCGGGGATCAGAACCAGCGGCCGGGCGGTTCTACCTCGCTTGGCACAGCTTTCATTTTATTTCAGATGAAGACGTTGAGCTTAGTCAGAAGGGACATAAATCAGGACAATTAGCATTGGCGCCAAGAAGATCCTCTAGTAACAATTTCGCCCGGGCTTCCTTCGCGCATTCCTCCACTCAAGTCAGAAATGTCACTGCACATAGCGTTGATGGCGGTGAGACGCGACGCACCCAAAGTCCGTTTGATGAAATATACATAGCCCACGATGCTTCTGGATTGCGGTTCCCCGCCCCCGCCCGCGGCGCCTAGCCGGACCGGCTCCGAGTGGCAGCGAGCTTTCGGCAAACTTAGGGGCGCGTGCAAATTAAAGAGTGAGCGCGAGGGCCGGAGGAGGGAGAGAGAAAGGAGCGAGCCCGGGAAGCCGCAGCCCTCGGAGGGGTGGCCTGAACGTTTCACTTAAAAGCATATCTTCTTCTGCAACTGCCAGCAAGTGGAAGGATTGCAAACCTTACACTACCTCGAGACCTGGGCGCTCCGAGCGGTCCTAACTCCGTCCCGCTCGCTTCTGCTGCTGCTGCTCTGACCGCTCGCGCCGCCGCTCCACGACCTCCCGGCGCTGAGGCCGAGACCACCTTTCACCTCCCCATCCCCAGCTCGCCCACGGAAGGCCGTTTCCAGTAACTCTTCACGTACCATCCTCTCGTGCCCCCGCCCGTCCCATCCCTCACTCCTTGTTCTCCTCCCCCAAACCCTGCCGAAGCACACCCCTTGGCCCCTAGCAGTGATCCTAACGGTGTTTTTCAACCAACAATTCCCTGGCCCTGACAGCGGCCCCTAGAGCGCAAAGCCTTGAACCTCATTTATAAATCCATTCTCCTTTGGAAAGTTGAAGTTCAAAAGAGAGCCGTGCCTGTCATGTCTTCTTGCTTTTCCCAAGAAAAACACAAAACCCCGACCCCCAAGACCTCATTCCCCACCAGTGGGGGGCTCAGACTTACCTGAAATCACTCTTAACTACATACTAACGTCAAAAATAAATAAATAAATAAATAAATAAATAAATAAATAAATCCAGACTTAGATAGGGAGAGACTTTAATTAGAAAGAAAGACTATTGCAATACTGAGAGAACTCTGATCTCGGAAATCTGTAAGCATTTCAAACCAAACAAAAAAGCTTTTATATGGTAAGCGGAATACGCAGTGAGGGAAAGTTGGGCAGATGAGAGGAAGTAGACAGAAGGCATGACTGACCTGCAGGGTTCGACAAGAAATGCGTCTCTGTGGTCCCAGATTTGGGGAATAAGCTGACAAGGAAACATGTTCTGCATTTTTGTACTTGCTCGGATTTTCAGGCAAGCTGACATTCAGAACTGGGTGGGGAGGAGAGAAGCCTGACTCAAGTTTAGTCAAGGCAAAGCAGAGGGTAAAAAATGGGCCACTGTGACCACTTAGTCACCAACTACACACCCCACAATGAAGGCACAGAGTAAGAGCAAGGGGTCACTTTCCTGCAATGGCTGGGAGTGGGGGGTGGTGTCAGAAGGGTGTTTGGGGGAGAAGATTGTTGAACTGAGCCTATAACCAAACCCTCTTTGGCTCCCAAGCAGCCAGAAGGAGGCAGGGATTCCAGGCATCCAGTCCCTAGACACCACAACGTAGAGAGAGACCCCTGTGAATCCTCCTTCCCTTAACTTTCTCCAGGACAGGAATTTGTGATTTCCTAGCTTATCTCCTCCCCCTTCCCCCACCTCGTTGCTTAAGCACTGCCTTGCAAAAAGAGTTACCCGAAGGGTGAAACTCTCTAAAGTCATGCTTAGATATTTTTCATTCAGTCTGTCTATGCTCCTCTAGGGTTGAAATATACTGATTATATGGAGATGCCTCTCACCACCTCACCTTCCCTCACAGGCTCCCAGAGCCTAGAACTTTCAGGGGACCCTGTAGGACTTAAGAAACCACACCTGGGTGGTCCTCTCACTTCTCAATGGCACCCCACCTCCTTTCTGATGCTGAATACAAGGGCTCTCAGCCTTCCTCTTCCTCTAGTTCTTTTTTGCTCAAGCCAAGAAAACCCCTTCTGAGTTTTCATTCTCAGCTTTGTCTGATCTTTTAGGTCCTTTTCTGGGAAAAAGTAAAGAAAAAGGTATCTATGCAGAGATTAAGAAATTCCCTCCTGGGATATATCATGATCTTTGTGATATTGGCTCCCACCCTGGAGAAATGTTGCTTCTAGCTGTCAAAAGTTGTGGAATTAACCTCCTTCCCCTCTTCCTTTACTCTGACCCTTCCTCATTGCCAGCGCTCTTTTGACTATGAGGCAGCCACCAGTACCAAACAAGTCTGATAGGTGAAGGGGACCCTTTTCCGTTAAGTAGCTTCTCTTACTCCAGGAGAGTCTTACTTACTTACTTACTTACTCCAAGAGAGAGTCTTCCAGAGGTTGTTTCCCCCGCCCCCCAGTATCTGCTCTGATCTTTTCACAGACTCAGTAAATCACCAATAAACATGTGTACCTAAACTTTGGCCAGGAAATCAGAATCACCAGAGGAGACTTTTCAACGTTAAAATTCCTTCCTCTCCAGATCATGATTCCTCCTCTAGTGGGGCTGTGGTGGGAAGAACTTTAACTCCAAAAAAGCACTTTGGGTGGATCTGATATACTCCCTCAAACAGAGAAGCCCTACGTTTATATATTAAATCAGCTTTCCTGAATGTATCTTTGAACATTTGTTTATATAATACAAAGCAATCAGAAATTTACTTTAGATATTTTCTTGGCATCAGAGTTAAGTAAGTTAGGGCATGCTTACTTTATCTACCATCCTTTGCCATATATATATATATATATATATATATATATATATATTTAACTTCCTTTGGAAAGAATGATTTTTCTGTTTTTATTTAACCTTTCGACTCTACTTTTTTCTCTCTCTCCTTTCAGAAAAGAATTGTTTGATCTTTCAGTTCTCCAGCTTCAGATCTCTGGCAGGTTTCCACACATTCCTCATTCTTCTTCAACTCAGATTTTCATTTATTTGTAATCCTGTTAGGTCTGTAACTATTGTTCATTTTCCTAGGTTATTAGCTGCTTAGGAACCTTCTTTTTAGAGATTTGGCCAGGCTGTTCAAATACTTGTAATGTCAGTAGGCTAAACTGGTAGTGGGGGCATATTTGCAATATATCTGGTCCAAAAAGATATGTGTCTTCTTAGAAATACTGTAAAGTACTGAGGTGCCTGGGTGGCTCCACGGGTTAAGCCTCTGCCTTCAGCTCAGGTCATGATCTCAGGGTCTTGGGATTGAGCCCCATGTCAGGCTCTCTGCTCAGCAGGGAACCTGCTTCCCCCTCTCTCTCTGCCTGCCTCCCTGCCTGCTTGTGATCTCTCTCTCTCTTTGTCAAATAAATAAATGAAATCTTAAAAAAAAAAAAAAAGAAATACTGTAAAATACTTGACATAAAGTAGCTGTAAGATCAGTGTTCATTACAGGTGTGAATAATGTTTGCCCCCTTCCAGGGTTCAGTTGTACTCTCCTTGGTAACAAGAACAAACTCCCACTATATTCAATTAAGATTTCCATACCTGAAATATCCAAATCAGGCACAAGTTCTGTTTGGCCAGCTGTATACTATGTGATAGATTTTTTTTTTAAGATTTTATTTTATTTATTTGAGAGACAGAGATCACAAGTAAGCAGAGAGGCAGGCAGAGAGAGGGGGGAAGCAGGCTCCCTGCTGAACAGAGACCCTCCCCCCCCCACCCCCATGCAGGGATCCATCCCAGGACCCTGAGACTATGACCTGAGCCAAAGGCAGAGGCTTGAACCCACTGAGCCACCCAGGCGCCCCCGTGATAGATGTTTTTTGTAACTGCTGCGTGTGTCCCAGTAGAAACATCCTTCCTACCAGTTGTAAAACCTTTAGCTCTTTCTTGCCTCCACTCTGTGCTCGGGGACATGTTTTATTACAGAGCTATTAGCCGTGTAGTTTTGACAGGTTTTGAAGTTCCTTACCTAACAGGATTTTTTAATGCTTAAATATTTTGACATTTAAACCTCTTACAAGCCCTAAGCATCTGGTCTGGGCTCTATCACTAGACTATATTGGCATTTTCCTGCTGTTGTTAGGTGTTCCAAGCACACTTATCTTCAAACTTTAAATTTACAAGCCCAAAATATCCAGTATCAAACATGCCCAACATAGGTATATCAGCAATCTCATTTAGTTTTTCTGAGGACTGATAGTAGACCAAAGAACGTATCGTTTAATAGAAGAAAATGTACATATTTACTGTGCTACTGATTCTAGAATGTGAAGAATAG